CCCTCGCGGCATCACGTCTCGACCTGGTCTGAGCGCCACGCGTCCGCGCGCGGCCAATAGTGCGTCGAGCCACGCCCCCAGCGGCGCGGCGCAGGCGCGAGGGAGGAGCCACTCCGCGTGCCATTGGCCAATGGCCGACCTATCGGGTGCCCCGAATTCCGACAATTACGGTCGCCGGTGACAATTAAGGAAAGTCTCCGGCTCCCACGCGCCGGTCCGCGGACTCCGCGCCCGAGAGAGACAAAACGCCTTTGTCTCGCATCAGCTGGTCTGCGGGATGTTGCACCGACGTTTCGGAAGTGGTCACGCGCGCCTCCGAAACGCCGGTCAGTCGACGGAAAACTGCAGCTTCGTATTCGGAAGGTCCCGGGTTCAAATGTGCCCTGAGGCCTTTGCCGCTTGTAAATCCCGGGATTGACGGCCTTCCTTAAAATAGGCCACGACCGCCGCCCCCTCCTCGATTCGCTAGGCCAATCACGGCCCAGGCTGACACCTTCATGAGCAAAAACAAATTTCCCGCCTTTTGTGAAAGCCAAAGGTCAATGTTGACACAGAATCCGCCTTAGACCCAATCCTGAATCAGATGAGTCCAGTCCACACACGCCATTCATGTAAGATCCGTTTTAATATTATCCTACCCTCGTCCTCCCGGTCTCTTCCCTTCAGGAGCTCCGATCAATACCGATAATAAGATTCTACGAGTCCGACCCATCTCATCCCTCTCCGCCGATTCGCCCTGAAACAGGTGGGCGGACGCCCATTCATCGCCCGGCAACACACGCAGCCCACGAAAGATCTCGCACGCGACAGCGACCCGTTCACTTCTCCAAGAAACCACAGTCGCTTTTACGTGTCGTTCGAGCCTCAGCAACTCCCGCAACTTGTCAGTCGGCCACGACCACTTCCTCACACTCGACGCGAAATCATTTGTGCGTGTGGCACGGAGCCGGCAACGTAATTGTCCGGCTGGGCCTGGATCAAAAGAGAATTTCGCTGTTTCATAAACAGGTTCCTGGTGCAACAGCGGACGTTACGTCACATTTCAAGAATTTCTAAACGAACCCACCAGCAGCTGAAACCGACGTCCAGGGGTTCCATTGCAATGGCCTTCATCCCAGCTACAAGTCCCGGTCTCCAGCCTCTGGAATTCAGACGG